TTATGAATTCCCTACACTCCTTATGTTTATACAATCTTCCAAATCTAGAATCCTTGCCTGACTGCTTTGGAAATCTTCCCTTGCTTCGCGAATTAAGAATTTGTGACTGTCCCAAGTTGAGGTGTCTTCCAACAAGCTTAAGCCTAACTAGCACTCTAAATCTGAATAGATTGTGGATTGAGGGTTGCCCTGAGTTAGAGAAGTGATGTGAGAAGAAAACAGGATAGGACTGGCCAAAAATAACTCACATTTCCCATACTACAGTAAGGCAGTGAATATTATCTTCTCTCAATTGAGGTATATTGTGGATCCTATTCCTTTCATTAGGGACTTTAAATATCTTTTTGCAAACCGTATATATCCAGCATACTTATAGGAGCAACAGATTATAAAGTTGTAAAATTTGCAACAATAAATTGTCATTGTCAACTAATTTTACAATTTCAAGTTTCCAAAGAAACACATAAACTTTTCGATTTCTCCTCTGTTCGTTCCCTGTTATGTATAGGATTTCTTTCTTTTCTGGTGCCTGCCGAGTCCTAATATCCAAGTACTTGAAATTGTTGGCATCATTTCCAAGAGGCCTTGTTATTGAGTATTGACCGATCAATGGTTGTTTTTATTACATGTTCTGTAATTAACCTTATTATTACCTCCTAACGTTTCATAGTCATTACTGTTGCACAATAAATTGAATTTGATGCACATAAGTAGCACCTCTATATTTCTATTTTGCCCAATTTTTCTAGATTGTTTGCAATCAAATATAATATTGAATACTATTCAAGAAAGAACAAGTCATAATGTCATATATTTTACTAGAGCTTGATTGACTGGTTTAAGGTACTACAACTCCTTCAGAATATATTCAATCTGTTGCGTGTCTCTCTTATGGCTAGTTAAGTAAAAAATTCATTCAAGTGCAGCTCAGGGGTACAAGGGATTAGTATAAAATTGGCATACATAACCTTATTTGTTCACTGTTTGAGCTTGTGCAATAATCTGCAATCATATATCAAGCATATACCAGATGACAAGAATAACTATGCACAATGCTCCTCTATAGTGCTGTATTTGATAGAATATATTCATTTCTCTTTATGCCTCAAGGAACCTTGGACTAAAGGTCAAGAAGCTTATGACTTACTTTACTAACCATGATTATTATTTAAGCTGTGTTTGTGATATGTTTATAACCCACCTCCATCCTCTCTAAACAGATAAAAGAAAATAAATTTGTAAACAGTTACCGATCATTGTCATACACTTGGGATTAAATGTTGTATTTAACTATTGACTATCAATATCCTTGTTTTCTCTTCACAGTGCTTATTTGACATGTTGGTGAATAACTCTAGCATTGAGAAGCTCCAGCCAAACACTGCTGAATTGGTGATGAGATTAGCTTGGTGATTCATATTTTTCATAGAATGCCTCTCAAATGGCTCTGAGAAATGCTTACTATGTTATGCAAGGTGCAAAAGATATTGCTATGATGTTGTAGAAAAATTCAAGTTTGCAGGATCTTGAACTTAACATTAACATGATTGAATATGTTGTATGCAATTTACCTAAGCTTATTCCAAGACCGTAGATGCCTGAGTGTCCAAATCTTATTTTAATTTGTTTCTTGGAAATGGACGCAGGGATTTTCAAGTCTGGCCGGAGCATTTCTTGAGAATAACAGTATACGAAATACACATCTCAAGTGAGTAAGAATTGTTACATTAAGCTTTCTCCCCAAAATTTTCCTTCCCCATCCCTGCTTAAAATTTTGAGGGAATAGCAGTTTGATTTATGATCTTCATGCTTTTTGATATTGCTATTTTGCCTTGGAATTGTTTCATGAGTAGATCTTTAAAAGCTCATTACTTATTCTTTTCTTCTTTTATGAATTCTTATGACATTATCACTATTCAAGTGGCAATTGGTGGTGCTTTGGGGGCTAATGCATTAACTAAAGCACTTGAGAGCAACAAGTCATTTAGGGTACTATTCTAATTTCTTTTGGATGAGATGCCCAACATTACATTCATTCCTTGAAGTTATTGGTATCGATTTCAGAATTCTCACCTTGGCCACTAGTTAGCGTATCCAGTTCCAAAACATGTGTCGTATATTAATTTCCTAACAAACACCTCAAATTCCAAAGCAAATCTAAAGAAATTGAGTGCCAATCCTTCAGCATGTATTATCTTATATCAATAAAAAATGTTGTTGCATCCACTAGAAGCATATTTAGCTGTATGCAGCCTTATACAGACATGATTTAACCTGAACCAGAATACATGGACACTGGACAGGAACTTCATTTGCATGGAAATTCTATTGGAGATGAAGGAATCTGTTTTTTGATGGCAGGATTATCTTCAGGTTAACTTGTACTAATTTTTTATATTGACTGTGTGTCATTTATACTTTTACAATTCCACTTCAATGTTTTACAATTAACTGACAAACAATATTTGTTCTCAAGGGAAAGTTACATTTCTAGACCGACAACAACTATTAACAGCTCACAGAGTATATTAGGAAGAGCATAAGCCTATTATGGTATAACCTTTGCATGATTGACTTTGGTGATGAGGTATTCTATCTCAAATTTGTCCCTTACTTCACATAATGAGATTATCATAAATCTTGTCAAAATTGTGTTACATGGTTTGAGGTCGTGTAATGAATAGGATCCTTAAGATGTTTAAGTATGGCACTGATACATGTTATTGAAGATTCATAAAATTGTTTTTTCCGTTACTGTTGCCCAATATAAATTGCCTTGTAAACTGTCGAAACTTCAATTGTATGACATATAAACTAGTTTTTTGTATCTGCAAAATGTTGAATAGTAAGGTGAAGTGTATATCCATGAGATAAGGATCGATTAAAGGGTGGTAGTTTCAGGTCCATCTTGCCATACCTGAGAAAACCTTTTCCCGTTGTATTCACAGTAATAAGTAATAACTACTACAACAAAATCAATAGATCTACATAGATGGATTCTTAATGCCGTTGCTCAAGTTTTGAAAGATAATTTAGTTATTACCTGTGTAAGTCTCAACAGTTATTTAGTTTCTCATCTTTGTTCTGTTGTCTGTCTTTGATTTTATCTCATTCTTGGTTAGGACTTGGTTAGAATCATGGAGGCTGAAGTTCTCAAGTTTCATGGAAACAATAAAACGCTTTAGCTTGATTGGTGCAGGTAACCTTTTCAACATGTTTTATCTGTAAATTGTTTGTAACAACTTTGATTTGTAACATAGAATACTTACAGGTAGGATAGGATCAAAAGGGGCAGAATTCATTGCAGATGCATTAAAATACAATACCACCGTATCAATTTGGGCAGGTGATGTATTTTCTGATATTGCCTTTGCCCAACTTTTCCTTTCCTTTTATCTATTTTCACGGATCTGTATTGACTTCAACAGAGTGCTTTGGGTGATGCAAGAGACCATGCCATGCCTTTGAGGTGACCGAAAAGGAAACCAACATCTTCCTCTAGAAGACATTATATTTACTGCAATTATTTCTTGTTATAAACTAGAGCAATTTTTATTGGCAAGAGTTGGCTCACATCAATTTTCTGAGTTCCAACCATCCTCTGGGGGAGAGTAAAGAAATTTGTATGTGTACTATAACAATAAATTGTTGATCCATAATCCATTCCAACGGTTGCATATTATGTTGAACTATTAGAAATTCCTTTGTGTACTATAGCTCACTTGTGTCTTGGTGTTGTTTCCAGCTCTTTATGTCACTCAAGTATTTTCTTGCTAGGTGACTTTGGTAAATATAGTGATTTCACAAAATAAATTAAACATTTTATTTATATTCCATATCTTTTAAATTTTAATTTATGAAATATTTGAATTTGGACATATTTGGATAAGTCTCCAAAAAAACACTTTTAGATGAAAAAAATTGAAATAATTTTTTTTTTATAAACTGAAACTAACTTATACATGAATTAAAAATAATATTTTTGAAAAATTAATAGGAACAAGATTTTACAAATTAGTTTATAAACTAATTTCAGCTTATAAAAAAATTATTTTATTTTATTTTTCATATTTTTCTCTATAGAAGTGTTTTTGAAATTTTTTTACCTAAATTGGCATGTGCATTTAATTTTATTTATGCATAATTATCATAATATGGGCTTTAAAGTGTTATTTCAAGGTGTAATATAACTTAGTCAGTTCAGTACATTAAGTGTGTAAATAAGCAATTGAGATTTGAGCAGAAAACGTAAAATATTAAAAAAAAAACAAATATCAACTAAAAATTATAAAAAGCTAAAGAAAAAGTTATAGACAAAAATAAAATAAAATAAAGTTTTATAAAATATCATACAATAAAAATATCTTTACTTTGAAAATTTCTCTCTCTATATATATATAAACTCATTTATACAATATTTTTCTTTTGGTACTAACAAGGCTAGAAAATCAAACTTCTATAAGCATATTTAAGAAATTTCACAATGTATCAACTTTGTTGAATCTTGTTAGTAGTATTAGAGTAAGATATGATACTCTAACAAGTAGTAAGAATACCATTTAAAAGTATTAAAAAAAAACTATCTACCAAACATTATTTAAAATACTTAACTGAACTTAATACAATACTACAAAAAATAGTAGCATTATTTAGCAAACATTTAGAATACACAATATTAAAAACTAATATAATATGATATATTTTTTATAAATAACTATGTTGCTTAACTAAGTTAAATCTTTATGTCTATACGTATGAAAACATCTATTAAAATTGACTCTTAAAAAAAATTCCCTCATCTTAAAAAGCTAATTTCTACCGTAAAAAAAAAGTTAATTTCTAAACTTCAATTACCGATATTAAAAAAAATGAAGGAACTTCTGTTTGTTAATGAAAACGTGTTTTTATAATGATTTAATTATAAATAAATAAAACAGAATTGGTTCCATTTGAGGCTTGAAATTGAGGAAAAGAGAGAAGAGGAGAGGCAGAGAGTAAGCAATGAATTTTGCAAATTTCCAATTGTTTCTTCCACTCTTCTTCTTCCTCTTCATATCTTCCTATCGCGCTTTTGGGCAGCAAACGTAAGCTCCAATTTCTCTCTCTCTCTCTCTCTCTCTCTCTCTCTCTCTCTCTCTCTCTGCATCCATGGTTTGGCATAAATGGCGCATCTTGAGTTCCTGATTGATGATCCATAAAATTGCTTTGATCTAGTTTACCTTAAAGTTGGAATCTTTTGTCCATTATTTGAACTGGGCAGGGATTGGAACAGCAAAGAGACTCAACATGGGAATGGGGTTGGCCGAAGAGTTCTTCTGAGTTTCAAAGAAAAGCCCTCAGGAAGTAATGTTACCTTTGAATGTGCTCCTTCCGGTCCCTGTGTCCCCTGCCTCTACTCTGAGAAGGTTCCTTTTTCTTCTTCATCTTTTTTCACACCTCAAATTGGGGTTTGATCCTGTACTAGTTATTGTGTCCCCTCGTGTGTGTGTGTGTGTGTGTTTTTCCAATTCTCTATGATGATTGGAGTTTTTCATGAATAATGGTTTGACAATTAGAATTTGATTAAAAAAATTTTTGTCATTTTTGGTTTGGACTATATAGTGTTTGATCGTATGGTGTGTTATTGCTGTTGTTGAATGAGAATTGAACGGTGAAAGTGTAGACATTCCATTTTGCAGCTGGCTAGATCATCAAGCTTTGTTAGTGTGAGATTGAAGGTTGATGATATGTATGTATATGAACAGCCTATGTATACAGATCTGACTGCAGTTTCTGTTGAATACTAATGAGTTGCTCCTATTTGTTGATTTTGGATTTGTTTAACATGAGGGACTTGTTCATGAAGCCTTGCTTTCGAACATAAATATTGATGTGATGTCAAAAAGCTAGGGTTCATCAACGAAATGAGACTGAAGTTCATAATATTGAGTTTTCCTAATCCAAAAGAAGTTTTGTGAAGCTTTTAAATGATTTAAACCTCTTTTTATGTCTATGTTTGGGATTACACTGATAAGCTCTCAGCTGCATTTTTTCTTGGGTCTTTCTTATATTTTGTGATCTACATGATATTTTTTGGCCTAGTTGTTTATTCAAGGGCCTCTATATTTTTATCTGCAAGTTTTTCTTGGGGGATTGTAGGGTGATGATAAGTATCGCTGCAGTGAGACTGGCTACCGAATTCCATTCAAATGTGTAGAAATTAAAGATTCAACAAAGGATGCAAAAAAAACAAAATCTCAAAAGGGTCGGTCCTTGTTGGAAATTTCTGATGGTATTGCAGAATCTAATGAAGTGTCGCATGTTGCTGGAGAGTCCACATCTTCACAATCACATAGAAGATTAGAGGATGATTCATCATCTTCAGATGATAAGTCACAGGCTTATGTCACTTATAGAAGCTGTATAACTCCAATTAACGAAGAGAAGTTGTCGGTGCTTAATTTTGAGGTAATCTCCAGTTTTTAGCTCACTCTTATTCTTATAGTAGATTCTGAAATTGGTTGATTAGAAAATTAAAATCATATAGTGACCACTGACACTGACCAGGGTATTATTCTTTTCAACTAATGTATCAATATTAGAGGTTTAACTTGTGTTGCCAGCTGCCTTTAAGTGTTTGGTTCTCTAAATTTCTCAGATTATTCTGTACCTGGCTTGCAAATGATGTTTGTGACATTAATAAAAGGTTGGTCGAATGCATGAGGCTCCCACCCAAGTGGTAAAAGGGGAGGGTAGATATGTGTAGCTTTATCCCTGCAAGAGTAGGAAAGACATAGGCAGCCTTATGATATCCCTGCAAGTATGGAGGTTGTTTCTGGAATCTGAATCTGTGACCTTCACATCACAAGGCAAAACCTCACCATTGTACTTAGGCTCACCTTCTTGTGCGTGACTGACACTAATATGCATGATAAATTAACAAATAATATGAGGGTCTGCTGGTATCTGTCTGAACTAGCAAAGCAAAGTTCTACTTTTTGGATCTGAGCTACATTATTCAGATTCTACTAGAAAACAGTTTCCTATCAGCATGTGGTATGCTTTTCCAAGTGTTTATGAGCCATAAGCACTCAAGTAATTATTGGGGCATGCTTACAAAATGTTCAATTCGGTTCTCAAATTAGGGTGAGGTATTAAAATCTATTAATAGTCATTAGTTAGGTATTGGAGCCTTTGATGATGTTTCATATGCTGTGTTAGGAGTTCCACATTAAATAAAATAAGAAGTTCAATGTGATACTTTAGCCATGAGACTTCCCCACCTAATGGATTAACTTTTTGGGTTGGACTCTCCTTATGTGTTTAAATTCTAACAATTTGTACTTTCATTGAGGGTTGGGCCATGGAAAAGAGCTACTTATAAGCTGAGTTAAGATACAAATCATGATAGTGATTGAAGTTGTCAAATAGAAAAGGGCTACTATCGAGTTTGTGTCAATAAAGTGAAAGTCGCTATGAACATTTGCCTTTAAAGGGGGTGACAATGTCAAGAGTCCCATATTAAGTAAAGTAAAAAACTTAATGTAATAATACTTAAGTCATAAGGCTCTTCTACCTAATGAACTAGTCTTTTGAGTTAGGTCTTTCATCTGGCTTTTTTGCTTTATAGTACTGTTAGTTTGTTGGTATTATAACTAGTTCTCATTGAGTCAGCTTTTCGGTTAGCATTTGCAGATTTGCTACATATTGCTTCATTCAGATTTAGGCTACAATTTATTTGAATTTATCTTATGACATAAACAGTTGTGTAAGTGTTTAAGAGAGCTTATGAAAATAAATTATGATATGTTCATAAATTGTTTTCATCTTATTTCAATAAGCTCTCCAAGATAACTTATGAAAATAATTTATAGCTTAAATAAAAACAGTTTGACCTTATTTCCCCTTAGATTACAAAATAACTCACAAGTACGTACATAATAAGTTCTTAGGTTTTATTTGGATAAATTTCTCTATAAGAACTTATAAGAAAAGAAAATAAGAAAGAAAAATAAAATAAGTTTCTCCCATAAGTTAAAATTAGCTTATACATAAATTAACTTGTATTAGCTCTCTAATTTTAACTTCTCCAAAAGATGATTTTAATTTGTTTATAAACTAATTTTAGCTTGTAGTAAAATTTTCTTTTATTTTTTGTCTTATTTTATTTTCTTATAAGTGTTTATGAAGAAATTTATCCAAACACAACCTTATTCAATAAACCCTAAACTGTCTAATCACCACGTCTCTGGGGGATATCAATGTAGTTTTTTCCTGCAAAGCATCTAAGGGACTCTAATATCTCTGAATGTCAAGAGACAATGTAAATGAAATACTAACTTTACTGAGTCCCATCCATGTAGTGTTTGAGCGTTGATATTGTACCCTGGCTTTGTTGGTTCCTAGATAATCAATGAAGTTGGTAGTAATAATTTTCTGAAGGCTTCTAGTATTTTTCCTTGTACATTTTTTTTTTCTGTCAACTTATCATGATGATGGGTTAAAACATAAGTTTGTGTATACAAGGGTGTGAAAATATGCAACCAGTGTCCAAATTTGAAGAAAGCATATGATTATATCTGTTTTCAGCCACCTTGACCTTTTGCAGATATTGTGAAGCAATGATTTGTATAACCGTTACTTAATCTGCATTTAACTTGTTGAACTACATATGATAAACAAGGTATTATGTTAAAATAATGTTATTATGTGTTGTTGTTTGTGCAGGGGATGGTGATTTTTTTGTTTCTAATTAGCGGATCAATCATATACCTGAGAAAAAAGAAGGCCGTAGCCATGTCTGGTTATGTAGCAGGAAGGGGTCAAAACAACTCTCGATTTTGAAATTGAAGCCTAATGAATGATGACATTTTTACTCCATACATATTGATTGTAATAGGACAAAATGTTGGGATTTAGTGGCCTCTTTTGTATTTTTGTAGTGATTTTAAATGTAGTATAGTTTTACAGGCTTTCGGCATCTCTGCACTTATATAAAGTCACATGTGGACCACGGTAGTCATGGTATTCGTTGCAATTTGAGGCCATATAGTATGAGTCAATTTTGGCTAATTTATTGGACCAGGGGATTTTTAGGATTTTTTTCCCAACGAATCAGCAACCTTTCTTGTAACAAGTATTATATATTTTTTTATTCTTATATGTTATTGTTGAAATTTAGCGGGTTCGAAATTCCATAATCATATCACTATGTATGTAATTGAACTTTTTTTTGTCTAATGGTTGTAACTCGTAAGGTCTGTTCTGAAATATAAAGAATTGATATTTGTCTAATGGTTGTAATGCTTCTATATTTGATTTTTATTTGTATTAAAATAATATTTAATCGGTAGAAGTTAAGTTTAAGTCATATAAGTGTAAATTAGTCATTAATTATCGGTTTAGAAATATTATGTGATCATGTTGATGGAAAAAAATACCAATGTGTGTTACAATTTATTGAAAATTACACAATCATGAATATAACTCGTTAAATAAGAAGTTAAATAAGTTTTACTCAATAATAGAATGTGTTTAATTTTTTTTTTTTTTACAGAGTATGTTAAAAAATTTATTGTTGATATTTATTGATGATATTGTGATAAAAAAAAATACACTTAGAGTATTTTAATTAAATTAAATATTCTTATACATATAGTTTTATTAGGTAAATGTTGACTAATGCCTTAAAAGGTAATGTTAAGGTATTATAAGTAAAAGTTTCTTTTTATTAAAAAATAGTTTTTGACTGATTTTTAATACATCTTAATCGTTATTTCTAAGAAAAGAATTATTAATATTTTAATCATTGTCTTTAGAACACTCGTTACTAAATTTTATTTTATTATAATTATAATTTTACCATTGTTACATTTAAGTGATATGTATATATATGTCCCATATTA